GGGTTGTTTGGATTCTTCTGATTTGCTCGATTGTTCACAGCTGCTTGTCGTTGATCTTTTGGAGGACGTTGCCGGCCCTGACATTCTTGGTAGGCCGGATTGTTTGGATTCTTCTGATTTGCTCGATTGTTCACAGCCGCTTTGTCTTTGTCAGCTGCTTTGCCCCTCCTTGCGATCAAGTCTGACCCTCGGTGCTTGCTTGTTCGCCCATTTAAAAAGGGCGCAGTGAGTGTGAAGAAGAACCTAGGCAGAAGACAATACAGCACCAGCAGCAACATTCGGCGTTTTGTCGCCATTGAGCCCACCCCATTGGCGCTGGTCGCCATTGGGCGTCCGGCGTCCGGTGCAGAAAAAGCCGCCCAGGGATTGGGGATATAGAGGATCTGTCGTACAAGAGAAGCACTTTGGCCACCTTTAGGAACCATGTTGGAAGTATTGAGGCATGATAGGGCCATGTACTGTAGCGTCTTAGGTATCTAAGGACCATACGGATCAAGTTTCTTCACCCAAGAACGGTCACCCAACGTTCATCCTGGTTCAGGCGAGCTAAACTGGGGTCTCGGGTACACCAAGAAGAGCCTCCAGTCTGAGCCAATGTCTCGTCATATGTACTTGCCTGGGCCTACACCCTCCTATACGATCAGGAAAGGTAACTTGACACGAAAGACTTAAAGCTTCCCATATTCCGCCAAGCGCGGAATCACAATGACCGCCCTACCGTCTCCGCCCATCCCAGACCGTCTCCGCACCTCGTTTTCTGTGACCTCGCAGGGCCAATTGCTGTAGGTCTCCAGCAGTGCTTTTCGAGCCTGGCGGCAGCGCGGTCTCAGCGAGGGCGAAAGGCCACACGGCCGTACCAGTCACCAGGAAGCAGACAGCTCCGTTTGGCGACGTCGTCGAAAAGCGGGTATCGAAAAAATGAATCGATTGAGACAGCAAACACATCATGTACTGTGTCTGTGCTTTCCGGCGCCCGCAGCGAGGAAGTATCTGGCGCGCGATTCCAGAAAAGGAAACAACACGATGGAACGGAATGGTTCGTCTTTACAAACAGGATTGATATGTGAAACGAATGCGGTTGACTAATTTATGGATACCTTCCATTCGCCAATGTGAAACTGACCCTTTTGCCCAACCTCTTGGGGTCGATCTCCAACCCCAATGGCCAGTGGAGATGGTCGAAGCAGCTCCCACAAATATAGAGATCATGCAGACTGATTCAATCCAACCCTCACATCTAGAGGTTCTTCACCAAAAAGGGGGAGTGGTTCTTAGGTTCTCAAATCCAACCACCTACCTGCTGCTCCTTGGAACTGCTCCCCACCTTGAAGTGTCGGTCTTCGGGAGCACATTTGTAGCTCATGTACACCACGCCCCCCGTTGGGATGCTCAAGAAGGTCTCCCAACCTGAAGGCCGCTCGGCCACTCGAAAGCGATGTCCAACACCGGAGAATGCATTCTTGATATAACTCCAAATGCGGAGCCAAACACCACAACCACCATTCATGCACAACAGCGCCTTGGGTTTGAGAAGGATAGAGCAGAAAGGTTTGTTCTTTGAGCCCCAAGCTGGCCCGCGCCAAAGGCACATCTGCACTGTGTTCGGAGCTTCAGAGCTCAGGAAACGCGACTCGTTGTGCTTATCGAACCTTCGTGTCCTCGCTACTGGACAAACAACTACAAGTAGTGATCAAAACAAAATGTGTATGTATATACATATATATATATATATATGATCCAGGGACCTTTTGGGATCACTTCGTTGACCCCTTTGAATACCTAGTAGCCACGCAAACGAACATATATATATATATATATCTGTCTGTCTATCTATGTCTTTGATCATTTGTAAATAGATGGCGATACACTTCCCACAGTGCAACCTCTTCCAAAGCGTCCCCCGCCCGCCCTGCATCCCACCCATCAGGCTCCGGCCATCAACCAACCCTTGCAACCTGTCCCTCCGGCCACAGGATGGCCCATCTTTCAGGGTGCGGCAGCCCATCCGACACCGGCTTCAGCACCTCCACAAGCCTCGCCACCGCCGCCACATGCAAGGCCATCCTACTATCCTGTCCAAACATCACAGCCGCCCCCAACCCAACTGGCTCCAGAATACACCACGCCGCCCACGAACACCACAGCCACTGCCACAGTCTTGCATCCCCTGCCACCGGGGTATTACGACACGCAGGGGCGCCCCCTGCCGCTCCATCTCCAAAACTATGAGCCGGAGCATGACCCCTGGCACGCCGACAACCACTGAACGCGCAGCATCTTTATGTCGGCCACAAGAGCCTCCCATTCCGAAGATGCATGTTACATTTCAACCCACCACGCAACCTACCCGAATCACCTACTCCATGACACTAATCTTCGGACTGCAGCCATCCACATTAAGGCCTCTACCAGTTTCACTACGCACCACGAAAAAACGCAAGGTGCTTTACGCCGACTGTTTTTCTGTTTTTGTTTCTACTTTCGTTTCGCACTCGCTTTATTGCGCAGTTCAGATTTTCCACTTTTCCTTGAACTTGCGGGTAGGCCACATGACAATCAACTTCACCACCTTTGCTCTCAGGATACATGTCTTTACCTTGTTTGCGCCTCCAATTTTTCAGCTTGCTCAAGCACCTACTCGCGATTGTCTTTACTCGAGTTCCAGCCGGCACTTCATCACCATGGACGCACAATGGCAACAGTATTACTGGAACCACTATTTGCTCCAGCAGCAGCAACAACAGCAGCTTGCTACCACAGAGGCCACTACCACCCATCCTCCTGCCAGCCATCACCCATACACCCATACAACCCCACTGGCACCTATGGTCCACTCACCCACGCTCTTCGCACACACCAGACTCACCATACACACCCATACACGCCACCACCGCAGCACACGCCTCCACAGGGGACTCCACCACAAGTGCCTCCGCCATCCAAGCCAGAGTTCCCACCTCCGCCGCCTCCACCACTACCTACCGCGGCTCCAGTCACTCCACCAGTTCGTCGTTCAAACACAGCCCACTGCCAGGAGCGGCCGCTGGCTCCGGATCTGCACCTCCCCCACCACCCCACATCCCTTCACCCAAGCCACCACTCCAGGAATCCTGGCACCAAACTGATCACCATTAAGACGCCAACACACTCCACGGCCACCAGCTCTACAAAACAATACAACCCACCCAATGGTCGCGCAAGGCAGGAGTTGCCGGCCTTCCAACATTCGACATCTTCCCCTGGCAACTTGCGTACCACGGCACTGCCGAGTACACCGCACGCACCCTTAGCCATGGGAAGTACACAGGCTTCATCGCCACTAGAAGTGTAGCGGAATCCGTTTTTGTCACACACCTCCTCCAGGAGATCCGGGAACAACGCCTGGACCTGGATGGCATCGCCGAAACCCTCCACACCAAACAAGGCACTGACGTCCGCAGCAAAACCACCCAGGCACGGGCTTTCCATGCCCCTTTGATCAACCTCCTCATCCAACAACTCCAATCCCATTCACCAGCACCTGCAGAAGGCACTGCCCTACGAGCCCTCAAGAACACCACCGACAAACTTGCCCGCGCCAAACAGAAGTTCCACAACCTGTGCAATCCCCTCACTCCTGTGAAGGGCACCAGCCACGCCACCGGCTCTGGCGAACCATCCCACCCACCAACTCCACCCGCACACAAGCCACCAGTTTTGGCCGATGTCCTGAAACCTCCACACCCATCTCTGAAGGATGACGCCCCCGATAGCTGGACCAACGCCGACATTCAACACTGGGTCACCACTTTTGACACCACCGTTCAGGAGGCCGCCAACGAAGTCCTCCGTTTGTTGCAAACAAGTAAAGTTACCACCCAGCAGTTGAAGGAAGCCGCTACACGCTACGGCCTCCCGCTCGGCCGCGTCAACCGCCTCCCTATTCGCAGTTTGCAACATCTGGTCAGCGTGGGGGCGGCCATTGGCTGCTGACTCGCTATTCTCAGCCAGCAGCAACCCAGCCACAACATCATGCAGCAACTCTTCCACCTCACAGTGCTCTATCCCTCTTGACCCACCACACACAATACATCGAACGAGCAGAGGCCATTTTTGCAACAGGCCTCATCCACATCACCTTACTCTTTGCCTACCCATCCACAACACACCGATCTCAACAATGGCGCAATCGGTTCCGCCAACTCCGTATTCTTCCCCATACCTATCACTACCACAATTTTTTGTCCCAGAATTCCGTTTACATCAAACTCCACTTCAACCCCATTCCACCACATCGCTGCTACCACCAACATGGCCATTTCTACGTCGGCTCTACAGCCATTGGCATCCCCCACAGAGAGCACAACCGCCGTGCCAAGCTCAAACAACTCCAGAACAACACCCCAATCTCAGCAGAACTATCCTTACGCTACTGGCATTCCCACAACAACATTCACCACTACACCACCATCCAGCTCACTTCCCACGACACCTATGATCAAGCATGGATCCAAGAACACCACCACATTGCCAATTGGATGCCCACACTCAACTGGCCTTTCATTTCTCACCACCTCAAACTCAAAGCCCAGGGATGGCAATTCACCAAACATCGCGCACACTTCTACTCCAGACTAGCCACTCACAAACGCCTCTTCCGACGACTGCGGCAACGCCAACATACCATCCGAGAGCCGCACCTTTACACTTCTACCAAACATCACGCTCTCACACTTCTTCGCAACCTCACCAAACACACAGCCGCCTCCTTTGAAGCAGCCAAACAACTGCGCAGCGGTCGCCACACCGATCTAGAAGTCTACGCCATCCGGCGTATGGCCGCCAATCTAGAAGAACCAGGCCGCAGCAGAGCTCTCCACATCATCCACAAAGCCCTCCTTTATCGCAACCTTACACCACCCAAACCGAACATCCCGCTAACAGTGCCTTTCTTGGCGCACGATGACTTTACCAAACACTGCCAACAATGGCTCCGTACCACCATCCCGCAGCACAAGCATTTGGCCATACCCCTTCACCTCCCATCCCATCGCATACGTGAAGCCGCTCACAAAACACTACGATCCCAGCTCCACAACCACCGGACCTGGGAAGACACTCTCCACTCACCACCTGATCCAGCAGACCTCCCCTGTGCGTGCAACCACCTTCGCACTCTCCTTCAAGATCCAGACACACCCACCACCAATGGTCACTACATCCTCACCCTGGACCAACTACAACTCCCACCACACCTCACCATTTTCCTCAACGCCAACATGAACAGCACCTACTACCCCAGCAAGGCCCGTTATTTCCTCACTTTCCAAACGGCCTACACGAAGTGGCTCAAGCTCCAAGGGCTACCACCATCCCTCCCTCGTACAGCATCTGGAACCTTTCCTCGCACACCAATGGCGCCTCCATAACACACATCTCAAACAACAACCCCGCTTTACAGCTCGTTTGCTCCGCCAACTCCAAGAACTTCTCGGCCCACACACAGTACTTCACCATGCTGACCATGAACTACAGCAACTCCGACGGTTCTGCCCCCGCCAATACTTCACCGGAGCTCCCAACACATGGCAATCCCCTGAACTTTTTGAACCACTTCTCCACCTTACAGCAGCCAACATCCACGACCATCTCAAGGCCACGGTCCCACCCATCCTCCGCACCCGCTACAAGTGGGGCTTCCGCAAGGATTTCAACATTCCTTATGGGGTGGTACACCTCAAGGAGAAAAAGCACTGGCAAAAAGGCCGCACTATCATCTCATACTTTCACTCCCTTACTGGCAACCTCCTACGTATCACCAGCCGTGCCTTTGACATTATCCTCCAGCACCTCTACCCGCAACATCCAGGACAACTTTCCATCCCACAACTCTGGCACCACTTCCACAGCTACCTCACAAATACTCCCGCGGACATCTCCCTGTACGCCACCAATGACGATTTGGTGGGCTTCTTCAACTCGGTTCCCCAGCATCGCTTGATCGATGCAGTCCACTCCATGATTCACCACTGGCAACAACAACAACAATCCACACACACCCTTACAGTGGACGTTCACGCCACCGGCAACCCCTTCCACCACTCTCACATTGGCCGACACCACCGCAAACATCCCACACAACGCACCATCCAGACCTCTGACATCACCACTATTGTTGCCTATGCACTCAACACCTGCATTTTCCGGGCTTGCAACAACACCTACAAGCAAATCCGAGGAGCTGGGATTGGCTCCCAGCTCTCTCCAGCCCTTTGCAATGTCGCGATCACACTCATTGAACACTCCTGGCACCAGATCCACAACAACCTACTTCACCACACGGACCTACACTTTACCTACTACCGCTACATTGACAACCGTTTCATTGTCCACAATGAGCACTTCCACCACCCAGCCATTCAAACCCTTATCCACCACAACTTCTTTGGAGACCCAGTCGAACTTGAACCGGTGGAAGACTTTCACCTCCTGGGTTTCAACATTGACCTCCAACAACGCACCATCACCTACATACAACCTTCCCAACCCTGGAAAATCAGGGATGTCACCACAGCCGGGAGCCAGCGCTTGGCTCTGTCAGGCCTCCAATCCAGACTTCACACTATCCACAAATACACCTTTCCACCCTCAAGCGCGGACGCTGCTGCCGCTGAGCTAG